GTTTCTATACTCATATCAAACAAAGAGACATCAAGCCAAAGTTAATCAGAAGGGACAAAGAAGACTATTTCATACTGCTTAAAGGAATTATACATTTTCAAGACATAGAAATCATAAATATTTATGCCCCCCAAAATGGAACATCAATATACATCTCCAACAAACCTTTCTCAATTTTATGAATCAAATGGACCACAACACAATAATACTGGGTGGCTTTAACACACCTCTCTCACTACTGGATAGATTTTCCAAACAAAAACTAAACAAAGAAACTATAGAACTAAATAATAAAATCAATAATTTAGAGTTATTCATCAATGACTGAATACACTTTCTTTTGGCAGCAAATGGATTTTTATCTGCAACAGACCATATGTTATGCCACAAAGCAACTCTTAGCAAATACAAAAAAAAAAAAAAAAAAGAACCCTTGCATCCTCTCAGACATTAATGGAATAAAACTAGAAATCAACGTTAAAATAAAAATAGAAGCTACTCTAACACCTGGAGACAAAATAATACACTATTCAATGACAGTGGGTAGCAGAAGAAATCAGGAAGGAAATAAAAAAAAATAATTAGAGGTAAATGAAAACACTAATACAAAATATCAAAATCTCTGGGACACTATGGGGAAGGCAGTTCTAAGAGGAAACTTAATTGCATTGAGCTCATTTATTAAAACAATAAAAAGTTAACAAATAAGTATCCTAACATTACATCTCAATGCCCTATAAAAATAACAAATCAACCAAAAGCAGTGGAAGACAGGAAATAATTAAAATCAGAGCTAAAATCAATGAAATAGAAACAATTCAAAAAATTGATAAATTGAAAGTTCTTTGAAAAAATAAATAAAATTGATAAGACCTTAGCTTCAGTAACAAAGAGAAAGAGATAAAAATTACTAAAATTCACGATGAAAATGAAATGTTATGATGGACATTACTGAAATACAGAAGATAATTAGAAACTATTTAGAAAATTTATACTCAAATAAGATAGAAAATCTCAAAGATATTGACAAATTTCTAGTGACATATTGCCTACCTAAACTGAATCAGCAAGACATACACAAATTAAACAGATCAATTTCAAGCAATAAAATAGAAGACACTGTCAAAACCCTACTAACTAAGAAAAGCCCAGGCTCAGATGGATTCTCAGCTGAGTTTTACTTGACCTTCAAAGAAGAATTAACACCCAATGTCTTCAAATTATTCCAGGAAATAGAGAAGAGGGAACCCTTTCAAACTCATTCTATGAAGCTAGTATCACCCTCACCCTGCTACCAAAACCAGAAAAAGACGTAGCAAGGAACGAAAACTTCAGACTGATATTCCTGATGAACATAGATGCAAAAATTCTTAATAAAGTTCTGGCAAATTGCACATGAAAACATAGTAAAAGCATAGTGCATCATAATCAAGTGGGGTTCATTTCAGGGATGCAAGGATAGTTCAACTTACGGAAATAAGTGTAAGACATCACATCTACATACTTAAAGACAAGAATCATATCATCATCTCAATAGATGCAGGAAAAGTATTTGACAAAATACCACCCCTTCATGTTCAAAACACTAGAAAAACTAGGGATAACAGGAACATATCTCAACATTGTAAAAGCTATCTATGCTAAGCCCCAGGCCAACATCATTCTAAATAGAGACAGGTTGGAAGCATTCCCTCTAAAAATTGGAACAAGATAGGGATGCCCTCTTTCACCACTTCTATTTAACATACTTCTTTAAATAGTAGCCAGAGCAATTATACAGACCAAAAAAAAAAAAAAAATTAAAGGGGTATGGATAGAAAAAGAAGAACTCAGATTAGCACTATTTGCTGATGATATGATTCTATACCTAGAAGACTCAAAAATATTCTACCAGAAAACTTCTAGAACTCATAAATGAATTAAGCAAATTAGCAGGATATGAAATCAATACCTTCAAATCAAATGCATTTCTATACATCACTGATGAATCCCCTGAAAGAGAAATTAGGAATATTACCCCATTCACAATACCCTCAACAAGTGAGGTAATAGACCTCTGCAATGAAAACTACAAAATACTAAAGAAAGAAATTGAAGAAGACCTTACAAGATGGAAAGACCTCCCATGCTCTTGGATAGGAAGAATTAATATTGTCAAAATGGCCATACTACCAAAAGTTTTATGCAGATTTAGTGCAATTTCTATTGAAATCCCAATGAATTCTTCATAGAAATAGTAAAAGCAATCATGAAATTCATTTGGAAAAATATGAGACCCAGAATAGTCAAAACAATCCTTAGCAAGAGGAGTAAACCAGGAGGCAACACAGTACCAGATATTAAACTATACTAGAGAGCAATGGTAACAAAAAAGGCATGGTATTGGCACCAAATAGACATGTAGACCAATGGTACAAAATATAAGACACAGAGACAACCCACATACATACAGTTATCTCTTACTAGACAAAGGCACCAAAAAAATAAATTAGAGAAAAGATAGCATATTCAACCAAATGTAGCAAAATGAATTCTATATCTTTTCCTGTACAAAACTCAACTCAAAGTGGATCAAGAACCTAGGAATTAGACCAGAGACCTTGTGCCTAACGGAAGAGAAAGTAGGCTTAAATCCTTACCATGTTGGCTTAGGAATTAACTTCCTTTACAAGACTTCTAACATGCAAGAGGTAAAAGTAAGAATCAATAAATGGTATGTTTCAAACTAAAAAGTTTACTAAGAACAAAGGAAACAATAACATGAAGAGGGTGGGGCTGAAAACTAAGATGGCGCCTAGCTAAATGCCAGTAGGAGGACACTGAAGTTGTTTTGAAACCTCCCTGATTGGCTTACTTCAATTCCGTGCTCGTGCACAGCTCGTGATCTTCATTAGAAATTATGGTATGGGTATACATGTGGATTCCTTCTGCTGATTTGACCTTTATGTTGATTGTTTCCGGCTTTTCCATGTTTTAAAATGATTGGCTTTTACTCCTTATGTATGTTGTGTGTGTTTCCTCAATAAATGAGATCATTCATTGACTGGTCTCCGGGTCTGATTGTCCTCCAGTGGGGAGGGCTGGGTGGGTGGCTGGCCAACCCTCACCTTTCTTGATCCATCCGGGTTGTGGCATGCTCTCCTAAGCCTCTCTGCGGGACGGAGTGGATAGAAGAAGCTAAAAACCCCAACAGAAGAGAGAGCCTACAGAATGGGAGAAAAATTTTTGCACCTGCACCTCAGATAGTGCACTAATCTCCAGGATATATAAAGAACTCAAAAACTTAACACCAAGAGAAACAAGTATCTCAATTAATAAATGGACTAAGGAACTGAACAGACACTTCATAGAAGAAGAAATACAATTGATTGTTCAACATTTTCATATCTAGCAATTAGAGAAATGCAAATTGAAACTACTCTAAGATTTCATCTCACTCTAGTCAGGGTGGGAAATATCAAGGTTACAAGCAACAATAAGTGTTGGTGAGCATGTGGGTAAAAAGGTTCACTTATACATTTCTGGTGAGACTGCAAATTGTGTAAACACCATGGAAAGCAGTATGGAGATTCCTCAGAAGACTTGGAATGGAACCAACATTTGAGCTAGTTATCCCAATCCTTGGCATATATCCAAATGACTTAAAATTAGCATGCTACGGACCAGCCACAACAATGTTTATAGCAGCTCAATTCACAATAGCTCAACTATGGAACCAATCTAGATACCCTTCAAGAGATGAATGGATAAAATGTGGTACATGTACATACTGGATATTACTCAGGTTAAAGAAGGATGAAATTATGACTTTTGCAGGAAAATGGAAGGAACTAGAGGATACCATGCTAAGTGAAATAAGCCAATCCCCCAAAAAACGAAGGCTGAATGTTTTCTCAATTATTGGATTCTGATCCATATTGGAAGTTGTGGTAGGGAAGAATGAAGGAACTTTGGATTGTGCACAGAGGAGTGAGGGGAGGGGAGGAGCTCAGGGATGGGAAGAATGGTGGAATGAGAGTAACATTATTACCCTGTATACATGTATGATTACACTATTGGTGTGACTCTGAAAAATGTACATCCATAGGAATGAGAAGTTGTGCTTCATTTGTGTACAGTATGTCAAAATGCATTCTACTATCATGTATAAGTAATTAGGACAAAATTTTACAAGTTATATAGGATATCTTTCTCAAAGGAGTGTGCTATGTTCCAAAAAAAAAGCATCTAACATCCTAGTTAAGTATAACAAAAATTTTAACTGCTATAAATTAGTTTTCTTTATGGTGATTCACAAACTAAGAGTTTCATTGGACACAGCTTATAACACTATTTTTCAGAAAACAAGGTGACTATAGTCAAACTTTTACCTGTGTTAGCACATTGAAAGAAAAATCTTGAATGAAGAAACTTATCAAGAATCTTGCATGCTGTACACAGCACTGAAATTATTTGATGCTTCTAATTTTTGATAATTTTTAAATAAAAATATGAATTTTTTATTATTTTTTGGTGCTTTGTATTTGTACATATTGATGGGATTTATTGTTATGTATTCGTACATGCACACAATATAACAATATAATTTGACCCATATCACACTCCAGCATTTCCCTCCTCCCTCCCTACCTCTTGCCCCTTAATCCCTTTCCTCTACTGATCTCTCTTTCATTTTTAGGAGATCCACTCCCAATGTTATCTTCCCTTTTCCTCTCTAGTTTCCACATATGAGAGAAAATACACAGGACCTTAAGCTTCTGAGTTTGACTTATTGATGGTCTCTAGTTCCATTTATTTTTCTGCAAATGCCATAATTTTATTTTTCTTTATGGTTGAATAAAACTCCATTGTGTTTAAAAATTACTTTTTAAATATTATGCCTATAAGATACCTATGAATATTTTATGGGTTTATTTATATCACTAGATTACCAAGTATAAAATACCTTCTGGAAAAAGTTTTATGAAAGATAAAATTATTGAATTCTTTTCTTTATACAGGGAACCACCTATGAGGATGAGCTTAATAATATTAAATATGTTATTTCAAGTATTAATAAAATTCTGGCTCATAATTCACCAGTTTTGATTGTTCAAAGATGGATACGTGGCTTTTTAATTAGAAAAAAATTAAGGTATGTTTTATTTTCTTTCCCATTTGAATATTCAAATAATTCGAAAATTTGTCATAAAAATTCTCTAATAATTCACATTTTTGTATTCTCTCTCCTTAAAATGATATTTATACACCATTTGACCTAAGTTACAGAAAATAACAGACTTTGTATTGATGTATTAGAGTATTTATAATTATCAAGTTTTGATACTTTATTTTTTGTTTAAATAAACTATAAAGTAACTAATCAATACTTTTTTATAAGCATTGTTTGAATAATTCTGATAGTGTTTAAAGTTTATACTTAAAAGTATAAATCAAAACCACATTGATATTCTGTAATGTAATGAGATATAATAGAAATAGAAATCATGAACTATATAATGTAATATAATAAAAATATAAACATTAAAATATGTATGAGGATTTTAAGTTTTGTATAAATCTAAAGATAATTTTGCTGAGATATCTGCTAATACATCAATCTGTTTTATCCTTAATTAGTTGTTCTTTCCTCTCTGGAACTGATCTTTGCAAATAAAGGAAAATCTTTCTTGCTAGAACCTTTTCACATTGTACTTGGAGAAGTAAAGTAGGATACTGTGTCATCAATATATGTGTAATTTCCAAATATCAAACTTGTGAAAAATAAATGAACATTTTCATATAGCTTATTTTCAGTTGTGTAATGACAATATTCAGAAGATGGAAATGCAATTTGTATATAAGTAGAATTAAAATAGGTACAGATTAGAACAGTGAATGTTTCCTGAGAACGCAAGATTAGGAAGTTTCACCAAAATGAGATTCAGCATTCTGTAGTAAGGTAGAATGTCTTCCTTTCTCAGCCTACATGTGTTAAATCATACTTGTTGATAGTCCTGATAAAGAGAGACAGGTATAGGGACAGGTAGCAAAGTTGACAGTAATACAGTGTCTGAAAGTTCTGAGGAGTGATTCCATATACTTTTCAAACCAAGGTCAAATTATAAGGAAGAATGTGTTCAGAAAATGGGAATATGTGAAAACATTGGAATAAAGGATATGGAAAAGGATCAGGTGGTTGCTGACAGGTGCATCTTTATTTAAATATTATTTCAGTCTCGTATGTTCTATTTAAATTTAGTATGTACTTTAAATGAAATAAACATCTAATTCAGTGAAATTGGCTTTAGTTTATTCCCCAGGATTGAGTTTTCTCTCTTATAATCAAGGCACCTTCTGATACTCAGTAATGTGAGTGAGATAAAAATCTTTCTTCATGGAAACAATCTCTGAAAACTCTGCATGTATGAGTAGTTTGAATGAGTTTTGTGGGGAGAGAAACCAGTAATAATAATACATCACAGTGGTTCAAGACAGACTGGTTGGAAATGCTTTCTTTCTTTAAAGTTTTGTTCTATTAAGAGCACATTACTTAACTACTGTGAGCATAAATTTCCTCATCTGTCAAATTGTAAAGAACAGGGGCTAATAGTACTTATTTCTTTGTTTGCTTGTGGGAATGGAGATCATGAATATAATGCATATAGCACCTAAAAAAGGTGGATATTACATTCTCATTAGCTGCTGTTTTTTTTTAAATCATCATTATTGTTGCTGTATTTCGTGTTGTCTGCATTATTTGACTCTGAGGGATAAGTTCCTTAGATTTCTTGCTCCCTTTCAATTATATTTTCCACAGCATGCATAGAGTGATCTTTCAAAAATAGATGTCCGATCATTTTATTCACCTAATTAAAATCCTACAAGTGGCATCACACAGTTTTGTTATCACAAACACTTACCATACATGCTGCAGTTGTCTATGTAATTATCTACATCACCAGATATAATGTAAGCTCTGTGAGGTGCAGAGACTCCATTTGTACTTGTTTTCCTTATCTGTAGCATGTAACAGTACTTGACACATGTTGAGTGCTCAAAAATGTTTGTGGAGTTGATTAATACATCAATAAATGAAAAGAGTATGGGAGCTGTAATCAGAAAAGTATTTCTTAATTCATCTACGGGAAAGTGAAATCCAGAACTGGGGACACAAAATGCTGCCCTGAGAGGCTCCTCTGAGTATAGATCCCAAGTGATTAGTCTTCTTATATCTATTTCTAGCCTTGAGAAATGCCTTTCCACACTCAAAACATTTTTTAATCTTGCTTGAAAATTTTTGCTTAAACTACTTGAAATATTGTATACAGACTAAACTTAACATTATGATTAATGCTACTACACTTTAGAATGGAAGTGTTTTTAATACGGATGATAGGATATACTACGGGGAGTACATTTTCATTCTTAGAATAAAATACTATGATCAAATTGGCAGCCTCCTAAACATAGTTGGCAATTATGTTGAGGTCATAGAGAAATTATTGGTTGGTTGATGAGCTGTGAAAGAAATATAACATGGAAAATGGGGAAAAAAAACATTTATTACAGGTACCCTTTATGTAAAGAATTATGTTAATCCACTTTATATCATTTAGTCCACAGAGTTTTTGAGTTTGTCTTGTATTTTCTGTTGATAAGTAAAACATTAAGGATTTAAACTTGGTGGAGAGTTTAAGATATTTATTGATTGTCAGCAACTATTTCGTGTTGGTCATTTGTTGTTAGTTACAAGGAGATGAAATTGTGTATGTTAAGTCTGTAAATATTGGGTTTTATTTCTTGAATTCCATTTCTGGGCTCCTTTTACTTTCTGAAGCCCTGAAATTAACTATTTCCAGAGAGCTCTGGTCTTTTTAGTGGGGACTGATATTTGGAAACTCATATGGGAGTTCATGTGTTAATTGCTCTTGGGGTGTCATGGTTCCTGGGCCATTTCAGCAAACGGAATCTAAATTGATTATTTTTTACATTATGATTTCATATTGATTCCTTAAATACTAATTCAACACAGAGGGTTCTTAACTGCTTTCCTTCAACATTATACTTTCTTTCTACTATGAGAATCAGGATTATCAACATTATCTGTATTTTCACATGTTAACTCCATAATACAAAATAGATTTAGAATTATTGTATGTTTACTACTATCAATACACATTTAATAAAACTCGAGATTTGTTAGGTTATTTTTTTTGTCATTAGAATGGAGATATGTAATTTACATTCTCTGTTGAATAGTTATTTGTTTTATTTAGCAAAATGATATTAGTTATTTAATGATTTTGTTTCATTTTAATTTAAATATATTTCATATTTTAATAATCCATTTTTCTAGAGCATTTTATTTCATTTTTATTTGTAATTATGTTTCTTCTAATTCATTCTTTCTAAAATGGGGTTTTAAAGTATTGATTCTTTTTCTGTCCTATCACTATTTCTATTTTTCTATTTCTTTTAAATTCTAGCTTATGTTGCTTTTGTAAGTTTTATATGATTTTCTTGCTTTTACTTCATTTTGAAATAATAGGTCATAGTTTTTTTTTTAAGATAGGCTTCACTTTCTTTCTTTCATGTCTATAGTGATGTTATTATTTTCTTTTTTCTGTATTATAACAACTATACTTGATTACATAGAAATACTATTATATTGCTCTTGTTATGAGAAATTAGTTTTTCTGAACTTTAAGAAGATTTTTTACTTTTGGTTCTAACACTGCTTCTTTGTTGTTTTTGAATAATATTAAAAATATCATGATTTGCTTTCCAATTTCTATGGCTCTCTTCCTTACTATCCCCCTTTTTAATGTCAACTCTCTCTCTGTCTCTTTCTCTGCTACTACTGCTGCAGCTGCTCCTGCTCAATTTGGATTCTGTCTTCAGGACCATCTCCATAGTTATGAAATTCGACCTAGGGTACAGCTTTGGCTGCTTAGTTTTGGGGGTTCATTGTCCCACTGCTCCAGACCCTTACTGGAGATTCCATTTACATACTGTTGAAATATGTAACTCCCCCCCCACCAAGATTTGCATTTACTATTTAGTTTTTGTCCTTAAATTAACTCTACAAGCTTTCCAAGTAGTGTCTAACTTTTTTTGTTTTATTTTTACTCTTCAGATACCTAAATGCTTCCATCAATTTCCTCCTGCATAGTTGCTAACACCAGAGTGCCTTATAATATTAATGGATTTCCCCAATTGATTCATATTTCGATTTCCAAAGGATAATTTTCCATAATGAATTATTCTATAGTCATATTATGAGATGAATGGTTAGGTAAATAGCTATTTAAGAATCAAGAAAGTTAAATAGTATAATTCAAATAATTGACTACTTCTTGTATATTAAACAAAGAAAAAATTAGTGATAGTGTATGTAGGTTAAAAAAATCAGTGATAGTGGATGTAAATGGCAGGAAGATAGATTTCATCTCATTTTCCAAGAAAAATTGCTAATTATGTTTATCTGAATGATATAGTAGTGAATTTCTTTTAATAAGTAATATTAAAATAGGAGTTCTTTGAACATTGGAATTTAATAAAGAATACTTTAGCACAGTTCAGAGTTTATTAGTTATAATGCTGAAGATATTTTAGACTGTATTTCCAAGTAAATATGACTAAATATGTTTGTAGATGCATCAGAATACAGGAAGAAAACAATATACGATTATATTTAGATTAGGAACAAGGAAACTTAAAATTATCACTATTATAACTTCCTGAAACCTTTGGTGAATGTGATAAAATTTCTTTCTAGAAGAAGAAACAATATGTTTCTTTGTTTTAGTTATTTATTTGATTTGGTTTTATGTAACAGAGATTCCCCAGCCTGTGGTTTAAGCCAGGCTAAAGTTTTCTTTTTACAACAGAAGAGTCCATACTTCAAGAAGTCTAGGCCTGTGACTGCACAAACATAGGAACCCAAACTTCCTTTAATTTCCTACTTTATCTTTCTATGTTTTGTGTTCTATCCCAAACACTCTTGTGGTCCAAAATGGCCGCCCAGTTCAAATCATTTTGCATTTGGAAAACTCAGAAAGAACTTGTCACTTTACTAAAACAGCAACTATAATAAGCCTTAGTAGGAATACTATATTTCTTTTTTCCTACATTTTCTTTGCCAGAATTTAG